GTTAAGCAAGATGTTTTGAAATGTGGACAGGAGGAACTTTTTATGGAAGGTGCGTTACTAGCGAACGTGTACAGCATTAAGAAGATTGTTCTTCCGCCGAGATCGGAAACGATTGTTCCGGTTAGTCTTCCTCGAAACGCTGGGCAAGCTTACCGTTGTGTACTTGTGGAAAGGGTAAACAATGACCTTCCATGGAAAGTAGCTCGAACCTTGGTCAGAACCACTGACATCTCAGGAGTACGTGATGGCTAAGTTGACCTCTGGCACTAGCGCCATCTAGTGTCGGGTAACAGAGCGAGGAGAGAGCTTTCCAGAAAATGACATCATTAATCTTTCAACCGACAGCGCCATCTGTTGTCGAAACGAAGAAATAAGCTTCTAGAAGCTGAGACTCGAACTTTCGGCGCTTTGTCGATTGGTGCGCGTATTTACTTGAATGTTCTGGATGTTTCGGTACTAATATGTATTTATAGGCGCTACAAGGTGCGATCGGGGAAGCGACAAGCGAAGCTTCGGAGCGGAATAAACTGAATCAGTGTGATTAATTATTAGTTTTTTAAGTTTAATTAGTGTAAAATGAATTAAAGAGTTAATTTTGGTAATTCTATCGGCAATTTATTGTCTTTATTGTCACGAACCTCAAGCTCGTAATAATAACATGCGCAATAATAAAATAGTTGAAACTCAAAACAACATAGTGAATGTAACAATGATACCCAGATGTCGCGCGTGTTCACAATGCGTGTCCGTCACGCCATTGCAATAGGGCGTAAGCGTCATTGACTATTGCTTCGGCAACCTTAGATATTAAGTTTCCAATATAAATAAAAATCCAAGCCTTTCTCAAAATCTTTTGAATACTTTATGCTTTTAGTTACTTTATTTTAAAGTCAATTGATTTATTTTCTTTAGGTAAGTATTTTTTTATAGGATAACGTGACAAACGAGCACACAGTCCACCTGATGGTAAGTGGATGCTGTGGCCCATAGACATTTACATCTATCCTCGATTAAGAATCAAATGCAGATGCGTTGTCACCCGTGAGGCTAGAATGCCTCGTTTCCAGTAAAAAGGGTCTCCGGTTCTCTACACTCACCATGCGAAACACAGCATCGTTAAGCTGCTATTTTACGCTGGTATTCTATGACAGCGTGATCCTTCTCCGGTCGAGCCTAACCATTCGTGCTAAAAGTATCCTACTAATATAGCTGCAGCATGGCTCTACCACGTACAAAATGACTGACTTTTTTATGACTGTCTTTCGATCACATCGTGAGATCACACATATGTCTATTATTGCCTTGTAATCTTTTAATACCAGATTTTAAAACTATCTAACGCTATTACGTTACTATAAACTTAAAAAAAAACTGATGTTTTTGTATTTGATAAATGATAACATATAAATACCTGTGCTGTGCTAAGATGTATTTTACCGCCTTTTTATTAAGGTACTATCTTGTTTATCTGTCTTTCTGTGTGGAATTTAGTAATTGTTTTAAGATAACTTCCCCATGAGCTGGCAACACATGTACAAAAAAATTACACTTATAAAAATTTAATAAATTTTGAATATAGCTCTAATGCGGATGACAATGCAAGAATATGATAAAAACGTGGTAATTTTTTTTTAATTTGACTTATTTAACACGCTATTATTTAGCTTCGTGTGTATCTATCTATCTATCTATCTATGAAACGGAATCTTTTAAAGTAATTTTCACCAAATTGTAGACTGCACATGGACTTGAAAACCGATGGCAATACAATAATTTATTAACTTCATCCTAGTATCTTGATCAGGATCACCGGAATATAATAAAATAATTTTATCTTTAGCGTGTTTATTTGTTTTTTTAAACTATAACTTATTATTATTCTACTAAGCCCATGGTACATAGTTAAGGAAACGTTTTTAGTAATCTGTACATATAAATAAAATTGAAATGTCTTTGTGTAATATTGAAATAGCCGGCTTTTAATAAGCTTTAATATCGTTTGTTGTATGTTATTTACACATAAATAACCATTTTAAAATGTTTGTATGTCTATCTACCAGCCCTAATCATCGAAATAGAGAACAATGGATATATTTTAGCCCCAATAATTGAAAACGTAAAATTGATAAAACGGTCTCCTATTATCTTAAATCATCCTGACTAAGCAAACCCGGGGCGGTTTGCTAGTACATACATACATATACTTAGCTCCCAGAGGTTGCACGATCCTTTTTTTATTAGTAATACTCATATTTTATGGAGTATATGATCACGCGGTATTCTATTAAAATTCATCTGTTTTCCTGCTTCAAAAAATCATTTGTCTTCCGAGCCGTATGGGAGCTCGCATTATCGTGATGTAAGATGATGCGACATTTCAGGCTATTTTTTCGGAGTTTGGCTATCATTTCTGGCAAACAAACCATGATATACTCAGTGGTAACCGTCTACGTTCCTGTAAAGGAATTGTAGCAACATGCCCTTTTTTCGAGACAAACGTAGCGACCATTTTCTTTGACACGCAGCGGGAGCGAACCACTTGGTTTGACCTGGTCTTCGATGTCCCAAACTGCTGACTGATGTTTTCCTTCAGGTTCGTTTGAATAAATCCATGATTCGTCACCTGAGAAGATGTTACAAACGACATTTGACTTCGCTCCGTTGAAGCTTTGCACAGTATTCCGGCACCAATCTACACGAGCGGCCTTTTGCTCTTCGTACAAATTGTGGGGAACCCAGCGGGAAACTAGCTTTCTTACACACAAATCATTATGTAATATCGACTAAATTTCAGTAATTCCGATACTGATAACAGGTCGGATCTGCTCGTATGTCACATGATGATCATCTAATATAATAGTTCGCACAGCTGCGATGTTTTCAGGCGTAACTGCTGTTCTTGGTCGACCTGCACAAGAAACAGTGCTAAGCGACACACGACCGCGTTGGAACTGGGCATACCAGCGGTAGCGGTAGTGGGGGAGACATTTATCTTGAGATAAGCCGCAACGAAAATTGTGATAAATTATGGCACGGAAATGTTCACGCGTGAGCTCCATTTCTGTTAACGACGTGTCAACTTTAAACCAACATGGTTTTTGTTTTTAAAAAAAATTTTAATTGTTTGAATGTCACGAAGATTCTAAGAGGCCAGTATTTAAATTCTAAAAAAGGTTTTATTGTAACTCAATCCGAAATATTCTATTCTCGATCATTTCAGTGTGCCCCTAACGTAGCATACCACGTTACCAATAAAAAGGGTCTCCGGTTGTTTTTTGTAATTATTACTTCAAACTTCTTTTCAGACTCTTTAGTCAGACTCGTTTATCTAATAACAACAGTGGATTTTTTGTGGTAGAGCCATGTTGTAGAACGAATGGGTCGGCTCGACCGGGGAAGGACCACGCTCTCACAGAATACAAGCGTCAAATAGTAACTCAATGCTATTATGTTTTGTATGGTGAGTGTAGAGAACTGAAGACCCTTTTTACTGGAAACGAGGCATTTTATCTTAATCTGCAGGAGTGGCAACGCATCTGCATTTTGATTCTTAGTCAAGGATAGATGTAGATGTCTATAAGCCACAGCGTCTACTTACCGTCGGGTGGACTGTGTGCTCGTTGGCCACTCTTAATCTATATAAAAAAGATATATATGCTGCTTAGGGTCAGAAATGTGTATTAGTAATATATAATTAGGATAGTGTCAAAGCGGAAACGGAGACCTTCGGGGCCTCAGAGATTTCCGCTTTGGTATCACTTAATGACAAATCATGACTCGGCACTTCACAATGTTTTGTTGCAATTATTAATAATGACTAAGTATAATTTTCTCGTTTTCTTGCATCGTAACGTTAAGTGACTGCCTATGAGAACCATTGTTTAAATCAAAGATGACTAGCTACAAAGGTACAGAGGCCGTCAACGTAACCGTCAAATTTAAAAAAAAGTTTTACCAAGCGTAAATCACCAAAAAAAAAACACTTTAAGTAAAAATATAAAACGCCGTTTGAGGAAAATGCCTGAGTCTCCGTAAGTAAACATGTGACATCATTATTTTTTTATAGTTAAATGTAATGATTATGTATTTGTTATCATGATATACGATGCCAGCACACTTCATGTACGTGAGCTTTATTAAAGGTTACTTAATTGTTTAGAAAACAATTTCTACCTGACATTTTTTTATTAATTTATTTACATTTTTTTATTATAAACCTTAAAAAAATCATTACAAGGGGCGGACTTAATGCCTTTTGCAATTCTCTCCCAGTGAACCCGGGACGAGTGGAAAACAATGTAATAGGTAGCAAAAATAAAATGAACATTATAATAAATTAGAAAAAGAAACTACTGATATTAAACACATTCATGAAATTAAAAAAGGGTAACATTATACGGGGTGATTTTTTCACCGTCTGGAAAAAATAGGGTGTAACAAGTGGACGGAATAGAAGTCTATGGCACTGATATTTTGCAATTTTATATTTTTATTTTACATTAACATATTATGAAATCGGGCCCTGAGACCTATGAAGCTCTAAGAGCTAAAGGGCTAACAGCATTAACATCACAAGAAACCAAAAAATACTCGTAAATGTAAACTTGCCTTTTTCTCTTTTCGTATAACGTAGAAGCTGCCAGACATAATACATTCTCTCCTTTCTATTTTAACTCTTGTCTCTATTTTAACAGCAATGATGAAATCAATTATTTTTAAAATAAGTCTGACAAACGAACACACAGTTCACGTGACAGTAAATGGGTACTATGGCCTATAGACAGCTACATTTATCCTCGTTTAGGATAAAACAAATGAAAGAAGATCATTAAATGCAGATGCGTGGTCACTCTTGCGGAGTAAGATGGATGCCCAACTATAAAATAAAAATATAAAAAATATGTTTCCGGCTCCCGTCACACACGTGTTTGTGCGAGCATGGTCTTTCTCCGGTCTAGCCACGGTATCTAGCCGTACGTACCATTTGTGCTGCAACCATTATGGCGGCTTCTCACTGCGTGTGTTATCACGCGCCGCGCCGCGCCCGCACGCATCACGCGCAGTGTGAAGGGCTTGGCGTGGGGCGGCGCGGGCAGGCGTGGGGTGGCGTGGGGTGGCGCGGGCTGGCGTGGGGCGGCGTGGGGCGGCGTGGGGCGGCGTGGGGCGGCGTGGGGCGGCGTGGGGCGGCGTGGGGCGGCGTGGGGCGGCGTGGGGCGGCGTGGGGCGGCGTGGGGCGGCGTGGGGCGGCGTGGGGCGGCGTGGGGCGGCGTGGGGCGGCGTGGGGCGGCGTGGGGCGGCGTGGGGCGGCGTGGGGCGGCGTGGGGCGGCGTGGGGCGGCGTGGGGCGGCGTGGGGCGGCGTGGGGCGGCGTGGGGCGGCGTGGGGCGGCGTGGGGCGGCGTGGGGCGGCGGGGGCGGCGTGGGGCGGCGCGGGCTGGCGTGGGGCGGCGCGGGCTGGCGTGGGGCGGCGCGGGCTGGCGTGGGGCGGCGCGGGCTGGCGTGGGGCGGCGCGGGCTGGCGTGGGGCGACGCGGGCTGGCGTGGGGCGGCGCGGGCTGGCGTGGGGCGGCGCGGGCAGGCGTGGCGCGGCGTGTGCTATCCGTTTAAAATCTGTAACTTCAAAGACGCGGCACGACGCAGCGCGCATGTTTAAAGCCGACTTCTCACTGCGTGTGAGAAGTCCGCTTTAGACATGGTATATATACATAGGTATAATAAGTATTTTATGCTTGGTAATAAACAAGTTAAAACAATAAATTACGAATACATGGCTTTCTATTGCGTCTTAGTTTTTAGTACCTATGTCCTATATCACATGCGACACCCGTGAAGTAAGTAAAGGACAAGTGACTATATAGTCACAGAGTAACCTTACACACCTAATTATCACTCGTGTGTGAGGTAACCAGATGTCTAAGTTTTACCCTTATATAATCCACATAGATAAAACAAATTTTTAAGTACTATTAAGTACTTAATAAATTTGATCGCGCACTTTCTACTTTGTCTCGTAACTTAATAGACAATGATTTAAAAACTTTAAACCTATATGCAGTAAAAAAATCCGAGGCTTCTATGGCAATCCACTCGTGCTTATTATTCCATCGGTGCAAATGATGAAGTACATATTAGTTGAAATTGTTGCAATGATGATTAGAAAAGAAAACAACTAAAAATATTTAGGAGTCAAGCCCTTTAAGTGATATTAATTTTATGTAATATTTATTTACTGTAATTAATTGAGTGATGTGTTCGCAAAACTATCACATTTATCACCGTGGATTTAGTCGCATAGTGTAGACGTACATTTAATATTTTTTACAAATAGCTGTAATCAGTAAAGGCAAATGATTGATTAAATTTGTTAAATATCGTGTGACACTTCTGCAAATAAATTACTGTTTATACATTTTTTCACGCATTCCTGCAAGAGTCTGCACATTTGCACAAGTATGAGCAGAGCAGCCAGAGTATAGGCATGTGACAGCCATATGAAATACATGGCCGTCCTCAACCATATTAAAGGGAAGTGGACGACACGACAAGACGGCGCGACACCAACGGCGCCTTTAAGCACAGTTTAAAAAGAATAATCTTCCAATTGTGCTTTCAGCGAGTCTGTCATACACGAGATGTAACCGAAAATCACAAAATTATGACGGTTGGCTGAAAACCCTGGTAATTCCCGATATGACCACTTACAATTTTCGCCTAAAGAAACAACTATGTAATTAAATATTATAAGTATATTCATATTACCAGTGTTAAGTCACAAATTCACATAGCTTGGTGTTGAACTGGAATGGATACGGGGTCCTAAAATGTACTTTGCAAAAGTAGAAACACGCAGTTTACATTGATACTTATATAAAACACAGACGGCCGACTTATGGTTTAACTAATAATTTTACTACCCTCATATCCTATATCTTTAAACGAGCAATTCTTGTATATATATATATATAATCGGAATCTCGGAAACGGCTCCAACGATTTTCATAAAATTTAGTGTCCAGAGAGTTTCGGGGGCAATAAATCGATCAATTTATTTTTAGAAAATGTCCTTTTATCCGTGTTTTCAATAAAAAACTGCTACAATATAAGAAGGTAAATTTTGTCAAGTTATTAACGGTCGTAATAGCTCAGGCTCAGGTGTGATGTCATCCGGGACGTGATGTCGGAGTTCCGTGGTTCGCGTCCTGCCTTTGGTCTGACTTTTTTCCTTTTTTTTTTTCAAATTCCCTTCTTTTGTGAGAAAATCTATTATTTAAAGCCCTTTTTTAGTATTTTTTAAAAATACGAAAATTTTAATAAAACTAATTGCACTCATGATTTTTTATTCAAATAACCAGTTCAGTTTTTATTGTCAATAAGATCAAAAAATATTATTTATGTTTCATCAGTATGTAATTTATAAAAGTAATTACAAAAAAAAAAACGAGCAAAACTCGGTCATCCGGGTACTTTTCTGTTATATGAGTTTAGACCCTGGTTCCTAAATAATTGATAGGAGATTAAATTTTAGACTGCCGGCTTTTCGCAACAATAGGGCGAAGGGCATTCTACTCTAAACATAATTTGACTTACAACATACTTTTTAGGGTTCCGTAGTTAAACAATAGAGTACCCTTATAGTTTCGCCATGTTCATCGGTACGTCAGCGGTTTTACTCATAGACCATCTATATAGATCCACCTATTCCATCGTGTGGATAGGCCCTTCAAAAATATTTGGGCTATAGAACAAAATTTGTTCGATTCAGGGGTCCGTTTGCGAATTATTAAGCTTAAAAGTCGTACTTTTAATAGAGCTAAGTGTCTACCAAATTAGTAAAAAATTTCTTGCGATTCCATATAAAATAACCTAAAATAAGCTACATAATAACTTTGTAATAAAACGGCTTAAATGCATTATTTATGCTTACTACAGCTTTATTTTTTCCTTTGTGGAGTAGGCAGATAGGATCGATCGCCAAGCGATCGAATCTGACATACTACCACTTTCGCTTATTTTTTACTTAGTAGTTATCGGAAGACTCATTCACAGTATTCATACATTCATACAGCCTCATACAGTTTCATTCGTAGTACTTTTTGGTTTACTCGTGCTATCCTCAGTACTATTAAGGGCAGTGATGGTTTACGGGAAGGTTCGCTACGGTCATGTGTATCTTAGTCCACTGCGGGGATTTCCGTACTATATCCCATGACCTTACTTTATATGCTCATAATATTATCAAGAAGGCCAGTTCAGCCTTCTAAATTCACGTATTGGGACGGGCAATTACGGAACCCTACCACAACATTGTGCGTGGCACTTGGCAGTTTTTTTTTTTAATATCTGTACTCGAAACTCACTAGAGACTATTCGAATTAAAAAGAAATCAGAAAGGCAACTTTTTATATCGTGTCTTATATTTTCAATCATAATTACATAACGTCTAAGGTTTGGATTGGTAAATTTATGACTTTCAAGGTCTTTCTAGCGTAAAGTAAAGGACGGTGTACCAACAGGTAATTATTCCAGCTCAAGAACAGCGGTCATTCTAATACAGGGCTACCCAAAATCATGTGGTCGTGAAATTTAGAAATCCTAACCAAATACTTCCCTTGCTTTGTTCTATGATTTAAAGTCAAGTGTCCATTTTTTATAACATTGAAGAAAAAGAAATTTTATTTACCTATATGGTTGGGATATTTACATTTTTTTCAATAAAATGTTTATCACTAAACTTTGTTAAAGAAACACAACACACAACTTATACACAAATCAAATTAAAAAATAATTTTGTTCTAATTAAAATATAAAACAAATAATATATCATCGTTATCATTATCATTACAGCCCTTCACAATTCGACTGCTTAACATAGGCCTCCCCCAAAGAATGCCACAAATCACGGTGCTGAGCCACCTGCATCCACCGACTTCCTGCATGTCTTACCAGGTTGTCACTCCATCTAGAGGGGAGGGGGTTGTCCTACACTTCGCCTACCGGTACGAGGCTGCCACTCGAAAATCTTTCTTCACCATCGGTTGTCGGTTCTTCAAGCTATATAGCTGACCCATTGCCACTTGAGCTTACTAATCCGTTGGGCTATGTCGGTTACTCTGGTTCTACTGCAGATATCCTCATCTATCCCAATCCAACCCCCCAATCATTTCAAGTTTATCACGCAAAGAAACCGCGAGCATAGACCTCTCCATAACTCGCTGAGCGACCTTGAGCAGTAATGGAACACGTCTCAGATCCATAAGTCGTCAGTTGCAACACGCACTGGTCTTAAAATCTTGTTTTGAAAACAAAGTAATATAAGAATTTGATAAAACTATCGCAAATGATTAAAAATTTACGCGCAAACAGCTGCGCGGAAATGTCTTTGTTCATAAATATGTAGGTACTTCTCCATTTAAGTAATGCCTTTTTATACTCGTATTCTGGTAGTTATTATGGTATAAGGATACTTATCGTAGTATCCCATTTTGTTTGTTAATATGTTCGAAGTACTTAGTTAAATAAAGTATTCAGTATCAGTTTTTAGTATATCAATGAGTATCTGCTAATTTTCAGATTATTAACTTGTATCATTTAAAAAGATAAGACGGTGAGTAAGCTTTCAATACCAAACTTGCGACCCGGACTCATGTTTTCCTTTCCCTCACGTGCTACACCACTGCTACCTCCAGCTAATTACCATTAATAATTTGTGGAGAAAACAATATGTTTTAACCGTGTAGTGGCCATATAACGATATAAGTATATTCAGTTCCCCACATCGCCTCATGAGTATCGTAAGTGCGACTTCGTCTTTAGTGTCTTCTTAGAAATAACTAGAAAGTAAGAAACTGCGGTTACCATCCCACCTGCCAATCGTGGTAACTGTGGTAAGCACCAGTAACCCCACAGATCCCTATGAGGCAATCTGTGGGGAGGATTATGTTCAGCTGTGGACTGTAATAGGATGTAACGGCAAGTTAGTGGATGCTGTGGCCCATAGACGTCTACATCTATCCTAGATTAAGAAACAAAATGCAGATGCGTTGTCACCCCTGATAACTAAGCTGGGATGTCTTATTTCCAGTATTAAGGGTCCCCAGTTCTCTACGCCCACCATACGAAACACAGCAGCATTAAGTTACTATTTGTATATGTCCTCTATATGTCGTCTTATATTAGATAACCTAACGAATTTTCAGCAGTACAATTTAACGAGATACCTCGAAAATTTGGTAGTTTTTGTATTCCACATGTTTTTTAACTTTTATAGATTAGGAACCAAACTTTTGGTATATGATTTTTGACTACCTATATGATCTTGGATTTCACAAAAAAAACACGATAATATGTAATTTTCTCTATAGAAAAACATTGCAAATCAGGCTCTAGTTAGTTACATTTTGCCATGCCACCACAATATTTTTACGAATAAGTTCATAAAAATATTTTAAGGCATAATAAATAATCATATCCAAGTTCTCATAATATCATATTTATGTATATAATATCATTTTTTTAATCCATAACAAAATTTTGTTAAAAAAAATAAAAATATTGTTTGGCACCATTGAAGTAATATGTACTTACGTACTAGAACAGCTATCTCAAACAAAAAATGTGCGCTACTCTGTGTTCGCGCGGTTGGTTTTTTTATCATAGAATAAACATAGGTAGAATGATCCGGTGTAAATTG